GGGGGGTCACAGGGCAGGCAGTATAGCACAGAGAAGACAAGTAGTGACTCGATAGCATCTTACTACGCTGATGGGCAGTGACTGTAATGAGGTATGTGGGGGGAACTTGGTGCTGGGGGGAATCTAGTAACCACAATGTTGCTCATGTGATTGTATATTAATGATACCAAAATTTTAAAAAAAAGATTAACAACAAAAAAAAACCCATCTTGGCAAGGGGGAGCCTTGTAGGCAGGTGAAGGCGGTGACTGTGGGCAGGTCCAGGGCTAAGGCGGAAAGAGAGGCGCTCCAGCTGGATGTGAATGTTTGCGATACAACCAGCAAGGCCCACTCTCCAAAGTGCAGGGTGCAAGCTTGCAGACCCACAAGAAAAACACAGCCGGACAGAAACAAAGGGCAACATGGTTGTGAAGAAACAGCTGGGGGGACATGGTTCTGGGGACCCCTGCCTGGTGCTTCTTTCTCTCTCCAGACCAGGAAGTAGGCCTGCAGGTGGTGGGCGGCATGTGAGAAGCAGGGAGCCCTGATTCTTGCAGCCCTTCCCAGAGTGGGCTTCCTCAGTGTGAAAGGGCATGGCAGGCATGTGGAGAATGTTCCAGGCCCAGAGGTCCTCAGGAAGCAGGACCCAGGAGAAGACTTTCCCACCCTCCCAACCACGCTGAAGTTTTGGGAGCTTGGGAGCCTGGTGCTTTACACTGCCCTCTACAGCCCAGAATTGTATGAGAAGACAACTCCTGGTCACCTGGGAAACACAAGAGTCTGGCAAAACTGAAAACGGATGCCCCGAGTCAGGTGAGCAGATGTGAAATGGTGAACTTCATGCTGTGGCAAGAGAGGGGCCAAATCAACTCTGATGCACCTTGTGGATAAAGGGAAGGTTCCTGTGCCCAGGATCCTCCCCTGGCTCTGGTCGGCTGGCCCACTGCACATGTGCGGGCAATGCATTGTTATTGACTCTATATGAAGAGCTCCGCCCAGTGCTCTGGGCAAAATGGTGGCATGGCTGCAAGGCTGCAGGAGAGCAGAGATGAGGACAGAGGCCCAGAGGATGGCTGTGTGGGCAGAGAGGCCCAGAGGCAGGGGCCAGCTTGCTGCACGCAGACTCACTCTAGTGGAGGGGATTCTGACTGGACAGAATCTAATAATGGACCTGCCACTGTGGGAATAAAGTCAGGTATAAACCCTTTCAACCCAGGAATGTTCTACTGTCATTTCTTTGGTCACATTGAATCCACAGTGAACTTGCCCGGGGCTGAAACCCATTGGTAAGACACACCTCAAAAATAACTTCTGTGTGATGAAAGCAAGCTGCAAAGGCTTTTGTTCTGCGTGATCGCGATAGTGTAATCTGCAAAGAATGTCATGCGTTGTTCTTGGGTGTCTGTGTAGACGAAAACTGCAGAGAGGTGACATGGACCGATTTCAGAGGCTCACTCTGGGGAGAATATGACAACATACCATTGTCTATGTTTTTGAACATTTTCATGCTTAAAAAAAAAAAAAGACTCTAGGGGATGGGATGAGGACGCAGCATGCTGGAGACTGACCCAGGAGGTGGAGGGGGTGGGCAGGTGGTGTGAGGCTGGGAGGAGCAGACTTTGAGGACTCCAGGCAGAGTTTTGTAGAAGGAAGAGCTGAGGAGAAGGGGAAGTCCAGCGCAAAGACATCTGGGAGGGCCAAGGGCGAGGCAGGAGCTTAGTTCTGGCCTCAGGGTGGGCTGGTGCCTTGTAGAATGACACTTCCAGGAACCTGTAGCTCAGGTGGGGACATGCACATGTGTCCTGCTACAGCATCTGGGCAGTAGGTGGCCCTGAGAGGGCTTGATGTCTAGGCCTCAGGGATCAGGCACTGGGTCAGGGTGGACTGGGCATAGAAATAAGGGATAGAGAGGGCAGGGGACCAGAGAACTGGCCCCTCCCAGCACCCAGCACCCTTAGTCATGCATTGTACGGTGTACTGCACCAAGCAGACGCTGCTGGAGGCTGGTTCAGCCACGGAGAGCTGCTTCCTGTGGATCAACAAGTTTATAATAAACACAGTTAAATTTTTATTTATGGCACAGCTGCTAATTGCACCATAAACACTTTTCATCAGGCAGTTTCTGTTTACGCATTTGCCAGTCAGCTCATTACCCAGCCACCTCCAGCAGCTGCCCTCACAGTCCCTAGAAGGTCTCACCTGCCTCTGTCCTGCCTCTATCACAGCCCCTCACCGTGCCGGGGCCTCCCACCCATCTCTCCACAAGACGGGGACATGATCTGAACCTTGGACTCCCTCTCTTCAAGTGGCCACGGTCCTGGAGCCCCATCTTCTGGGAGGTGCATCCTGCAGTGTCCAGGTGGGTCTTGCGTCTGCTTACACCTTCTTCATTCACGTAGCCGTGACCACCTCCTGTGTCAACATCCTTCCCCCCACCGGCCAGCCCCTCAGGGGCTCTGTCCCTTCCCATGTCCCATCTGCAGGTTGGTCCCCATGTGGAGCTGAAGCGAGGTGGATCCCCGCCCAGCACTCAGACACTGACACGCACCCCCCCACCCCTGCCCCAGACAGCAGGCCCCTGGGCCTTGGTTCCTGAGATTCTCTGACAGAGACCGAGTAGTCTGCCTGGTGGCATTTCTGGAGTCCTCTCCCGGCCACCCTGGTGAAGAGAAACTGCCTGGCACTTCCTGTGGCAGAGCCTCTCCACTGGGAGTCCCACTGTGCCGCAAGGCGAAGCCTGGGAGGGCGCATGTTTGTGTTGTAGCTGCTTGGGTGGAAAGGAGGAGAGGCCATGCCCTGGTCACCAACCCCTTCATTTCTTAGATGAAATGTTGTCAGAGCCACTCGGACAGGTTGGCTGATAGGAAAGGACACCAAGGTCCCTCCCCAACAAGGCTCACTCCAAGGGAAAGGGAAACACCAGGCTTGACACAAGGGCTAGCACACAGTGGGACGATGGGGGAGGCCCAGGCTTTGGATCTGTGCCATGCATAAGAGACCAGAGTCATGATCTCTGGCCCTACAGTGGCCTGTGAGGCTGGGGACAGCAGAGAGACCACAGGACAAGGAGTGCAAGGTTTGCCACAGGGCTGTGAGGGCCAGTATTCCACCTTGCATTGGGGGACCCGGCTTTTCCCTACTGAGGTCAGGTGCAGGGCTGAGGAAGCCCCAGTGGTTCCAGGATGGGGTGGGTATCTGGGAGGAGGAGGTTCAAGCAGGAAACTAGGCTCTGTGCTGACAGGGGGTTTGGAGACTTGCACACTGATTGGAGAAACCAAAACCCGTGCCCACACTTGTATCAAGCTGGGCACGGGTCATTCATATGTGCTCCCCTTCCCAAATGTCTCCTGGCCCCTTGGGGACCAGGAGACGATCCAGCCCAGGCCTGCTTTTTGGGTCTCCTGGTTGGGGAACAGATTTGTCATAATAGCACTGAATTGTGGCGGTGGGGACAGGACCCCTTGTGCTCAGCCCTGGACTTGGTCTGGTGGAGGCTGTTAGCTGAGTGTGTCACTGGGCCAGCAGCTTGGGCTGTGTGCTGCCCAGGGCTGGGCGGGGGCCTTGGAGCTGCTTGTGAACTCCGCGTGTGTAAGGAGACTGCAGGACTGTCCTGTCCGCATGCAGCTGCTGCCTGGATCCCCTCCTGGGTGGGACACTCTCTGCGTTTGAGTCTGGCCCCTTCTCCCAGTGCCCACTAGTCCCAAATCTAAATCTGGCAGGGGCTTGGGTGGGGCCTGGGACCAGGAGACAAAGAACCTCCCTGGCGGAGGCCATGGGCAGCTGGGGGGGCTTCAGCTTGGGCTGGGGGATGGGCTGCTGACTTCTCCTTCCTTCATCCCCGCCCAGACTCTATTTTCAATCAGTTCAATTACTACAACTTTAAAGCAATTAGGGAGAATTAGCGGGCAGGCTGCTGCAGGGGAGGCGCCCCCACCCTCCTTTTTCTCACAGCCTGGCAGCTGCTGCAGACACCCAGACTCGCCTGTCTTACTTCTCCTAGAGATGCAACCTCACCTTCTCTTGGGGTCTGCAGAGGGGAGGCGGCCAGGGGAGAGACCCAGAAACATGGGCCCAGAGACTGGGGTGAAGGGAGAATGGTAGGGGGGACAAGGAGATGGAAAGTGCCTTCCTGAGACCCCAGGCCTGTGCTCACCTGCAGAGGGGACAGGCAAGGACACCAGTTAGTTGCTCAGTTCCCAAACCAGGGTGCCTGGTGCAAATTCGGGGTGCTGGCACTGATCCTGCCCCCTCCCACTCTCTCCTCCTCTGTCAATGACCTCCCTGACCTCCTCGAGGGAGGAGGCGGATTAAGTCCTTGCCCTCGGGGTGCAGAGAGCACTGGGTGTCTGTGACATTCTGCTCCCCAACAGCTGCCCTCGCCCTGCGGCCTCTGTAGGGAGGGAAGGAGTCTGCTCAGTTCTCTGGGGAGGGGGAAACACGCCAGCCTCTGGAGGCCCCTGGCCTGGCACCCCCGCACCCCTTTGTGTAGCAGGGTGCTGCGGCTCAGAAGGAAGACTGTGTGGGGCTCTGCCCCTGTGTCTGCCCTCAGAGGGGTGGGTGCCCAGCTGTGTGCACCTGCAAAGGCCCTGGAGCCAGCCCCAGAGCTGCCCGGAGGAGGCGACCCTCTGTGCTACAGACCCCTGGCCAAAGGCCTGGGCCCCTCATCCGCGCAAGTGGATGGGGGTGCAGGGCAGGTGCAGGGCCTGACCTTGCAGACAGAACCCTTTGTGTTGGGACCCACCCATCCCTCCCAAGGCTTCTGGTCCCACCCCTCCCCACTCCCCCAGCCTCTCAAAGAAGGCCTGTTCTGGAAGCCTCCTCTGGGAGACCCCCCCAGCAGTGCAGCCCCCTGAGGTGTGGGTGTCCACAGGCTGGCGTCCCTCGTGTGTCTGTGTGTCTGCACCCATCTGGTGGAGCAGGCCCTGAGCTGGGGCTGCATGAGACATCCTCTTCCAAGGAGGTGGACGGTGGGCGAACACAGTTACCTGTGCAGCTCTGTTCGTGATGAGAGCTTCCAGAGAAAGGGGCCAGGCTGGACTCCAGGGACACCCTGACCTAGTCTGGAAACTTCCCAGAGAGGGCTTAGCAGGATGATCTGGGAGAAGGACCTGGGCAGGGCAAGTCCTAGGAGGTGGCGAGGAGAGTGCGGCTGAGCTCAGGGGAGAGGGGCTGGGCTGAGGCCTGAGTGGGATCCTGCAGGCAGGTGGACACCCTGTGTCTTTATCCTGAAGTGATGGGGCCTGATGAGGGGGCACAGGACAGGGTGGCTTCTGTCAGGTGGGTGCAGGGAGGTGCTGGGCATGGACAGGGGAGGGGCAGGCCCTGCCTGTTCTCCAGCCAAGGAAAGGGTATGCCTGACTCAGCAGGGACCCCCCAACCCATACCCTCACACGTCACAGGGGGCAAGCCAGGAAGGTCAGTATGGCTCCCAGTGGGCAGCTGAAATGGTCTGGGGTGGGCTCTGGGGCTGTTCTCTCCTGTCTGGCAGGCGACGAAGGGAACCAGCCTGCCCCTGCTTGTTAGACTGACAGCCACATCCAGCTGCCCTTGACCTCTCTGGCTGTCCGTGCTTTCCCTGCAGGTCCCTGCAGGTCCCATCATGTCTGGTCTGAGCACATACGGGTGTCTGTGCCCCGTGCCCCCACAGCTGCCACTTGCAGGTGAGTGCTCTGGCACTGGGGCAGCGGCCTACCAAGGAAGGGCTGCTGAGGGGTATCAGGCAGGGGGTTACAGACTTGCAGATCTCACGACCCAGTCAAGTTGCCCTAGAGACAGTGGGACCACCCACAGTTGCTGGGACCCACAAACTCCTGTCACTGTCAGTACAAAGCAGAGGGCTTGATGCCCCTGCCTGAAAGGGTGTCCTTCAAATCCAGGGTAGCTCTTCATGGTGGACACATTTTGCGTCATTGAAGCTTCTATTTGACCTTGTGTGCTAGTTCCTGGGGTGGGGCCTCTTGGAGAGAGGGGCTGCTTCCTGCCCTCCCACCCCAAGCTCCCCTGTGATTTCTGCATAAACACAGGGTGAGACCAGAGGAAGGTGGAGGGATGCGTAAGGGCCAGACGTTTTCTCCCTGGTGCTGTTCCTATTATGAGTTTTCACTTCCTGATGAACCATCCCCAGCATCGTGGCCCCACACTGCAGGGTGAGTGTGCAAACCACCAAAGAGGTGAGGAGGTTAAGACGCTTTGGACCACCACCTGTGGAAGGCAGAGTAGCTGCAGGCAGCTTGTGGCTGTGGCTTGTGAGGTCACCTCTGGCTCAGGTTTGAAGGAGAAACCCAGCAGGTAGGGTCGGGTACTCATGCCAGGCCAGGCAGGGCATTGGGCAGCATCCTGAGCACAGCAGACTAGGCCTGCCTGACATGGCTCCTAGCCCGGTGGCAGAGGCACAAATAGCTGGGCGGTTCAGCCAGCGAAGGGGTCTGGGCAGGCCTCTGGAGGAAGGACACATAAGCCAAGACCATGCGGTGCAGCCGGTTCCTCAGTAGTGGGCAGGCCGGAAGTGTCCGTGCTGTGGCCTGCACCTGCAAAGGGCTGTGGCAGCGGGAGACCCAAGAAGCCTTGGTGTGGGTGATGCATGTGGTCCCCCGGGAGGAAGGCTTTGTAGGCTCAGGAGGAGGACGTAAGGGCAACGCGGTAGGCCCTGGCTTGAGAAGGAGGAGGGCCCCAGTGGGGCTGACTCGGGATGCAGGACCTCAGTCTGTGTCCGTTTGTGCGCCTGCCGGGTAACAGCTGCCTGGGGCGTTGATTCACACAGGTTCCTCCTGTGGGTGAGAGGCTAGACCTGTGGCTCTTGTGCTTTTCTCTCTCTCCTTTGCGGGGCAGAGTGCACTTAACAGACACACGTGCTCACACATAGATATGCATATGTGCAAACACACAGGTGTGTGTGTACAGATACACAGACATGCATGAACAGATGTGGACCCATAGACTCACAGCAGACAAGCACGCACACAAGCATTAATGTGCATGCACACTTCTATAAGACATGCACACAGGCATGTAGCCACAGAGGTACACACATGTGCACACATAGCATGCACACAAATGACCCCTCAGTACAGTGTCGCTTCTGCTGCCTGCTGCCATCTCTCCCCATCCGAGCACAGGGGCAGGGTGCAATCTCTGGAGGTAGGAGGCCTGGGGTTCGAATTCTGCCTCACTCCTCTGGGCCACGGCTTTCTAATCTGTTGACAAGGGATCCCGGAGTCTCACAGGTTGCTGGAGAGAGTCAGTGCCCTACTATGGGTGAGGGGCTGGGTGCTAGGAGCTGATATCAAGGATGGTATTTATTCTTGCAAGACCAGGGTGTGCCACCCTGGTGTCTGCTCTGGAAACCCAGGATTCAGGGGG